ATGACTCTGTCCCATCTGAAATTATGTTGCTGATCTGCAGTGGCTGCAGCTCCTCCAGGTTTTTTATTCTGGCAATTTTTAATGAAGACAGACACTTTTGGGGCTTAAGAGATTTTTATTGTCCTGTTCCTCGTAGCTCTTTTATGAGGATGTTATAAATGCAGCGTTATCATCTGGGCTGCTGTGGGCTGCTGTGAGCATTTACTACACTTACAAAACCAACACAGCTAATGGATGTTTTCAAGTATCTGGATCAAAATTTTCTCTATCAGAAATGTCTCTTCACCAGATTATACTTGGTTAAGTAGATTAAAGTACTTATTCAGTTATTTTAATTAAGTGGTAAAGTAAAAAAAAAAGTTCAGGTAAGATCACTGAAGCTACCTTTTTGTAAATAACAGTAGTACAACAGTACTATTCATTTCATTGGTCTGTTAAGACTGAAAAACATTATTTTTAGATGGACAGACATACCAAGAAGAGACTTAGTAAACTAGAGTTATTTATTCTTCAGGTATTGTTAACTTGCATCCATATGTGTATGATTCTAACCTACACTCCCTATTCAGTATGATTCTAATAAGAAAACTCCACCTTTCAGCCTTAGCATTTGTTACAGGAAAATAACGATGATTTTTGTCCAGTTCTGTTTGACTAGAAGTTTAATGGTATGATAGCTCTGATTTTTATCAAAAGAAGGTGACTGAAATGACATGACAACTTTTTCAGTATGTCAAAAAGAGACTGTTTTGCAACTTTCTGACTTTTTAAGGCATTCACTTTCAGATTATAATCACACCATGTATTTGAAAATACCTGGAATTCCCAAGTAGAGCACTACTGTTATTATGAAAAATTCTTTTATTCATTATTGCAGCCTCAGGAAGCCCCATCAAGTCATTTCCCAAGGTAGTTGCTTATCTTCGGTTGGCTGTTAAAAGAGAATTGAACTAAGCAGCTGCCATTCACTCTACAGACAATGGTATGTCGTCTTGACTACTTGAGTCACCTGGTAACTGTACAAAAATCCAATCTGAGTCCCTCTCTATGAAGTTACAAAATTGTTCATGAAACTTGAGAGATCTTATTCTACATTTTTGAGCTGTTGTTCCAGTCAAAAACCCTTCTGAGAGTGCAGGATAATATGGAAAACCTCTCTCAGGCAAAATTAGCCAGCTCCAAAGGCCACAATAAATATTAATTGGGATAAGGCTTGCAAGATGAAGCTATCAGGCTTACTGGACACTCAGTCTTACCTATTAATGCATATGTGACATAGAGGATGGATCCTAGCAGGATGGCTTGAGAGCCAAGCTTATCATTGCAAATACAGCAGCAGCTAAGAGGCTACTTACAAAGAACAAGAAGCAGCTAGGCAGAGTATGGCAACATTGCCAGCCTAACTATTGCACAGTGCAGGCAGCCAGGCCAAGGGTACTCACAAAAAGATCTCTAAACAGGACTTGATAAATATTTCTGCTAAAAATAATAACCTCAAGATACCGTAGAAAAGCGTACTGACAGTGCCATGAGAGGAGATCAAGTGACACTACTGAAGCCGTTTTCTTGGTGATCCTTTTTAAAGAGAAGTCAGGCTTATGAAGGCTCACAGAAGACTATACCTGAGTACCATTTCCATACTGACTCAGCAAGGAGAAGCATGAGAAGGAAACTCATTAATCAATATTCCAGCGCTCTTTGTGGAGAGAGAGTTTCTGCCTCATAGTCACTGCAGCTTCCCTAGCCTGGATAGAGCTAATCCACAGAAGTCTTGTGTTACTACCCCAACATAGTCAAGAACAGATCTGCATGACTCAAAATCAGGTCCAGCAACATACCCTATGTGAGATAGTGATTGAACTCAAATGGATGGAAGCAGGGACAAGCTACCAAGGACATGCAGGGACACAACTGGGAAAACACCAGTTTGGCTGGAATTGAAACTAGTGAGGGATATGAAGGGTGGCAAGAAAGGCTTCTGTAGTTGCATCAACAACATAAGGAAGAAAAAGGAAAAGGTGAGCCCACTGCTGCATCAGGCTGGAGATCTACTAAGGGTAAAGAGAAGGCTGAAGTATTCAGTGTCTTCCTCTTTCTAACTTTATTGACAAACTTTGTTTTCAGTCTCACCAGGTCACCATTCACATTAGTAAATTCTGTGGGAGAGAGTTACTACATTGATACTCAGTATTAATGGATCTAATTAGGGACTACTTAGATAAGCTGAACATGCACAGTCCACAGGATCAGACAAGACACCATTAAGATTGCTGAGAGGGCTGCCAGATGTCATTGCAAGGCCACTCTTCATCATATTTGAATAGCTGTGGTGATCAGAGGGAAAAGGCAAATATCTCAGCTATCTGAAGAAGGAGAGAAGGAAGACAAGGGAGAACTATTGGCCAATTAGCCTAAACTCAGTCTTTAGGAGTATTATTGATCAAATCATCCTGGAAGGCATTTCCATTACAGAAAGAATGAGGAAGTGATTGGAAACAGTCAGAATGGTTTTACCAAGAAAAAATGATGCTTGACCAACCTGATAATTTTCAGTGAGAAGATAACTGACTTGGTGGACAAAGGCATTAACAGTAGATGTCATTTACCTTGACCTTAGCAAAGCATTTGATATACAATGAATGACTGGTGTGCAAGGTGGGTAGAAAACTGGCAGACCCCAGTTCAAAGTCTAACTGGCAGAGGAGCACTGATATGTTTAACATCTCCATCAGTGGGAAGAAATGCACCCTCAGCATATTCATGAATTACACAAAACCGGGGGCAGCAGCTGATAACCTGGAGAAGGAGAGATACTTCCCCATGACTTTGAAGTCTGGGAAAGAATAGACTGAGATAGTCTATTTTCATCATCCCTGAGATAGTCTATTTTCATCATCCCTTTCAGATTATACTAGATTAAGAGACCACAGCTAATTTTCAGAAAGGACTAGACCATAACATAAAAAATAGTACCCAATACAGGGCCTGGAAAATGCATATCTGTGCTAGAAACATAATCAATGAAAATAAATACACCATTAGTGGATTTGAATAGTGTTTGAGCCATGTGGTTAGGGACAAGATAAAAGGTGAGTGAGGCTGTATTCAACCATGAATCAAAATAATAGTAAAAATGGATCATCACTATTTCTTATTTTCTGCTACAATTTCTATTTTGTTTGCTCGGTCACTGGCCTTCACCAGAGGTGCCCTGCCAAGAAAAGATGAGCTGAGAAACCTTCAACAGATTTTTGGAGTATTCAAGGAAGTACATCTGATTCTTGTGAGGAATTGATACTAGAAACTGTTGCCTCCAGGATAAAAACTGGAGCAGTATTGTCTCAAGAAGGCTGACTGACAGAAGTGCAGTCTTCAATACCTGAGTCAGAGAAGGCTTACTCAGCTTCACGGCTCTGATGTTCATTCAGAGTTGTGTTAAGAGCTCCCTTCTGTCAGAACAGCCTGTTCTCCAATAGGAGTTACACTTGCTGCTCACAACTTTGGTAAACTGGACATTTGAGCTTCTGGTGATTTGGCTTGCTCATTTACCTCTGTATAAAGGTGGTCATCTCAACCAGGGTGAAAAAATAAAGATCAAGGCACTAATGGTTGCTTTTGTTCCAGGTGGACTGGTCTGAAACTCATTCAAAATTTCAATCATATCTGAATTTAATTTGCGTAAGGAAACTCCCTTTAGTTTAGGGCTGAGTTGGACAGCAGACAGATCTTAATCTGAATAGAACTAAATTATTTAGACAAATTCCTCTTTCATTCTTTCTGTAGCCAGAGGAGTGAAAAGCACAACAAACTCCTTACAAAGCCTGTTCATCTAAGTACTTTCAGAGATTAAGGTATACTAATCAGAACTGAAAAATGTCAGACATCCACACGCAGCCACTTGGAGTTCCACCTACAGTGCCATTGTAAAAGCATCTATGAACGATATAGTGTTTCTTAGAGAATCTTAACATATGTTAACTCCATATTAGCTCTGCATGTGAAGGGGGTGCTTCTGGTTGCCACCATTACTATGGTGGTTTAGTATACAGTCAAAGAAAAATTAAAGGACTACTTACCATTAATGAAAGTTCTTTGAGATGTGTACACCACATGACTATTCATCTTCTATCTCTGGAAGAGGTCGTTATAGAGCTGTTTAAATCTAGAATTATACAGTTGAGGGAACTACAGAACATATGGTGTGGTCTCCTTTATGCCCCTGTGTGCAAAAAGGTGAAGCATGTGCATGCTTCATGAATACTGCTCAAGCCGTATGGCTTCAAGTACTAACAGCACATGCATGCAGAGTGGCAGTGTGCCTATGGGGAGTATATCTTCAAAAACTCCAGCTTGTGCTGAGTAGTTTCCTATTTTCTCAGAAACAGTCCTGTACCTGAAATGTATATAATTACCACTAGGCATTTCATTATTACATAAAACAGTGTGAAGTATGTATTTTAGAGCAGTTGATCACTTGGCAAACTAGTTTGTTCAGTCACTGTTTTATTAAAGATACTGGTATCCCTATTCCTCATATGAGATTGAACATGGAAACACTACTAGAGTCAGTAGACTGAAATTTATACAGTCATTAAAAGCCAATTAAGGAGTTTGCCTTCCTTCTTCAAAATATGCTCCTTATATCTATGCAAAGGCCCATCTTCTATCCCCATGACATCCAGATTCTTAAGCAAAAGAATTCCGATTGCCAGGGAAATGATCCTTAAAGATGATCCTGAAAGACCTTGTGTTTTTTATTTTCTTTCTTTTTCTTTTTTTTTTTTTTTAAAGTGGGAGGAGATTGAGAGGGCAAAAGATATGTCTATCAGTGTTTGACTGGTTTGAGCCCAGAGGGCAACCGAGCACCACGCAGCAGTTCACTCACCCCGTCTCGCCCAGCGCTGGGAAGGAGAAAAATGAATCAAAAGGCTCAGGAATCGAGACAAGGACAAAGAGGAGTCACTCAGCCATTTCATAGTCACAGGCAAAAGACAGGCTCATTAGGGGAAGAAAACTTTAATTCAAACACTAACAAAACCAATACTTAAACAGAATAGGACTGTGAGAAGCATTGCCACATCTTGAAAACACCTCCCACCACCCCTTCCTTCTTCCCAGGCTCAGTTTTCTTCCCAATATCTCTATCTCCTTTCCCAGCAGCACAGGGGCAGGGGATGGGGGATGCAGTCAGTCCGCTGCTTCCTCCTCCAAGCTGGGGGGGAAACACTCTTTTGCATTCCTCTCCTGCTCCGCGTGGTGTCCCTCTCACAGGATAGCCCTCCACAAACTTTCTCTGCCGTGAGTCCTCCTCACAGGATACATTCTTCTGGAGATGCTCCAGCGTGGGTCACCCCCATGTGTTGCAGTCCTCCCAGCACCGATCTATAACAGTGGGGTCCTCTTCTTCCCACAGAGTCCCGGGGTTGTCCACAGGCTGCAGGTAAATCTCTGCTCCTCCAGTGACCTCCACAGGTAGCAGGAGGGTGGCCCTGCCATCTCATCATGGGATAGAGGGGGGCTGTCTGCTCCAATGCACCTCACCCCCTCCTCCACCTTCCTTCCACTGACCTCGGTGTTCGCACAGGTGTCCTTTTGGTAACTCCTCCTCAAATTCCCACCCCCTCTCAGGTTCCCCTTCTTAAATATGTTATTGCAGAGACATGACCACCATCGTTAATTGGCCTGGCCTTGGCCAGAGGTGGCAATGACTTAGAGCTGGAGGAGATTTTGAGAAGCTTCTCATAGGGAGCCACCACTGTAGCCCCCTCTCCCACTACCAAAAACCCTGCCACTTAAACCCAGCCACTAGGCATAGCTTGTCAAAAGATTTCTCTTTAACTTGGGGATGTATATGAATGAAGTACTTGCAGGTATCATATGAGAAAGATAACAACTATAAGAAAAATTAATTTGAAATAAATACAGCCATCATCTTTTGTAAGTTTAAATTACACAAATGTGTATTCTTTCTGCTTTTCTTCTTACAGACTACTTTGGGAATTGATAAAAATGAAAAATAACATCTTATTTTCTGGGAGAACTGTCTTAGAATTTGTACAGCTTCTTGTGTAGATAAGTGGAAAGAAAAACATTGTCCTTTATTGAATCCAGCTGCTAATGTATACATGTTATTAATTGATGGTTCTAGAATATACTGCCAGACCTATCCTTTGGAAATTGAAATATTTAGTTCCACATTTACCTCTGAGGATTCTTGCTCAATTGTAGCTTTTCAACACAGCATGGATTTGAATGTATACTATGTGGACATGGGAGATGAAGTGACGTTTTAGTCTCTGATAGCTTTTGAGAAGGTGTCTGTAAGTACATCTCTGGAAGTCTACAGACCAGACCTACTGCAACTAGAGAAAAACAGCAGTTATGAAGTTGCTCATAAAATCTGTTAAAAGTGAGATAAGGCTGTGGGGGTTTTTTAGAGTTTCTTTCAAATATATGTTTTTTTCCACTATATTTTGCTATATAGTTTTATTTTTGGCTATATTTGGCCAATATTTGGGATTAATGTGTATGTAGAAGGAGCAGAGAAAGGCTTCTTTCCACATGCATTCACTGTCATTGAGAATGCGGTGGAGTATATGCTCACATAGGTCCATGCAAATTAACTTTCTAGCTATATAGCTATTATTTAGGTATATTTCCTTAAAACTCTAAATTAAAATAGCATATTAACTAAGGTCAGCACTGTAAATTTGTAAAATAACTACAAAATTCTGCAGTATTAAGAAGGCAGATTTCTTAAGAAACATGAACAGTAAGTCATATAAGTTGGAGATCATCTACACAAATTTAGGCATATGGAACACAAATATCTCTTAAATGTTTATCAGCATTTCATCTTGTTTATTTGCCCCTTTCCATTCTGTTGCAATGTTTCATTTGGATGTCTAATGATCCATACATATAAAAAGCATCTCTCTTGTGCTTGAACAACCAGCTAATTTAGATGCCTACTCCATAATCATAGAATGTTGTGAATTAACTGCTATTTTCTAGGAGTTTAAGTCCTGTTGCTCTCTACAAGCTCACCCCTTCCTAATTATCTCAGAAACAAGGCTCCTTTATCAAGCCCATAAATGAGGCACAACCACTAGTATAAAAACACTGACCTAAGCATAATTGTTTGGGCAAGACTTAGGACACGTCCTGGATTAAAGAGCTAGGAAATACCAAAAGTAGATGGTGTAGAGGACAGGTTATATGGCACACACCTCATCCTCCTCCTGGATGAGACAGAGTGGGTTGAGTGTTTCCAGCTCTATCTCAATGCCATGATGTACCTTTGCAACCTTCTTTGAGACAGATTAATTTCCAGTCACGTCACAAACATCAATGTTTTCCTCTAGTATATGTGAGAATGCCTGATCATGGAGTGCAGAATGTGTTCTTATTGTGTGTGGGAATGTTGATGAAGGAAAATTCTTGTGGTGGTTTTAGGTGCTATTTCATTCCTTGTGTCTATGAAGAAGAGAGAGTTGAGGATTTAGGTAGCTATATAATTCTGCTGTCCAGTGATCCTGGCTCTTTGATCTTCTTTTCTCTCCTTTGTCTTCCTCTTTCTCCAGTTCCCACCCTCTCTCAGGGAATTCTAATCCTCCTCTCTGTGCTTCTTCCCCATGGAAGGCTTCGAATGGGGAACTGACCATGGTGACTGAGCGCAGGAGCGTTTGAAATAGTGACTGATTAGGAAAAAAAGGATTTCTTTTTTATCTTCTGAAGCTGTCTGTGGGATGGGATTGGCATTCTGGCAGAGGTGACCAGATAGCTACCATGCATATGGCCACATCCCCTTAAAGACACCAAGTTGTTTCACTACAGCAGTGTCTGCAGTAGAAGTTAGCCACTTCTCTTCTGTGACATGGAGAACTTCGAAGGAAAGCGGAATGTGTGATTCCAAATGAAATTATGCCAAATCGCTGAGGGTGTCTGTGTGAAGCAAAGAAAAGACAGGGATCGGAACAAGGCTGCTGAATTGTGCAGTCATTGCAAGCACACTGCAAGTAAGACAGTGCTTTTATTTTCAAATGTTTCACAAAGGAGTTGCATTACTTAGGATGAGAGTAGATCTCTCGGGTGCCTTTTCCACAGGAATCTGAAAAGTGTAAAACTGCTGAGAGGTACAAAGAGCACAGGCTTGGTCTTTTGTGCCAGGGTATTTGTCTCAATTAAATGAAGGTTCTTGGTTTACGGGATATATCAATGTATAGTTCAGATATCTAATGTAGGGCAGATGAATCCCAGATCCACTGTTTGGGCAACCTAGAACCAGATGAGTAGAGAAAAGATTCAGCCTCTCACTTAACACAGGCACTGTGGAAGACCCATACAGAGTAAGATCCAGAAGTAGAATTGGCCTTTTTTTTTCTCAATTCCCCAGATATCGTGAAGATATCCTTTATCTCACAGCATCACTGTGGTTCAAAGATTTTTATTCTTTATTGTTATTTTTTATTCTCTTTTAGACATTTACATTTTACCACCAAACTGACTATAATTTAGAAACCAATTATACAAAGGTATTGTGACTAACAGAAAATTTATACAGTAGATGTTGAGCTGATAATGTAGTTTTGATAAACAGGAATTCTTAAAGAGCACCCAGCCTTCCTGGACCCCTATACCCTTCATGACTAACTCCCAAGGGATTCTGTCAAGCAGGTGCCTAAACAAGATAAAGTCAGCCCTTCTGAAGTCCAGGATGTCAGTTCTGCTGCCCCCTCTCCTGGACTATCTAAGAATAGAGAACACTATTATTTCATGATTGTTGTGCCCTAGTTGGCCTCCAACCACCACATCATCCACCAGTCCTTCTCTGTTCACAAAGAGGAGATCCAGCAGGGCACCTTCTCTGGTTGGTTCACTCACCAAATGCATCAGGAATTTGTCTCCCACACATTCTAGGAATCTCCAGGACTGGTCCTGCTCTGCTGTGTTGTATTTCCAGCAGATGTCTGGGAATTAAATTAATTTCTTTACCAGGAATCATCAGACATCAGTAATGCCTCCTTCATTTTATTGAGGAACCCACCATTGCTTTAGGATATCAGATGGTTTTAAAACCTTCTTCAAAATTAGCACAGACTTTATCCTTTGGTAAACTGTCCTGTAGTCTTCTGGATTCTTCTACCAACTATCACCCATGAGGATCTCTGCCAATGAATGAAACAATATTAAATCTATTAGTAAATCTATCACTGGCAGGGCCCTACATCTTGCACTCCCATCTGCAAACAAACCAAGTCTCGTCAGAGAATACCATATTCCTCTTTAGCTAAAATGGTAACCACCTATGCCATTGATAGTAGCAGTGATGCATAAAAAAGAAACACATATTTTCAGTTTGCTCTGTGCACTTGGGGAGAAGGACTGTAAGGGACTGGATGCCCAGAATTAGCACATGTATTCCTCTACCTCCTTTTAACTCAGATTAGCAAATCTATCAAGCCTACTTTATGAGCAGAAATTACTTGTGGTTTCTGAGATAATTCTGCTTGTGTTTTGCTCAAGAACCCCCATGCATTCAAATCTGGTTGTTTTCAGGCAGGTAACTTCCCGAGTCACTTCTGTGATACGAATCCAACTTTGACCTCTTCATTTAAACATGTGTGACTATTTCAGACTTGCTCATCCCTGCTTCCTTCCCCCAGCATGCTGTTCAGTTTTCTTTCCATATCAGCCCATACCTGTAATGGTGGCAGGATCCTCAAAATGTCTGTGTGGATATGCCATTTCACCCTTTTTTTCCCCTCTATCCAAATCAGTCAAAATGGATTGCTTCTTGGCAAGTTACAGAATTCATGCAGCTGATTTTAGCCCAGGATTCAAGGAACAGGTCTCTATGTTAATATACTGAAGTACAGAGCCATAAAAACCCATGTGCTTATCTCATGATATCATCACTATGCTTTGCATCGAAGGACAAAGTTGCCTGATTATTCTTTTGTCAGAAATGGTGTTTAAAAGTTTTGAATCAAGTTTCCAAATCAACTCTTATGTTCTCCTTCTAGGAGTGCTAAAAAATGCTAGTGAACAAACCTTGCCATTTCAGAATCTCAGATCACAGATGGGAAATACAATCAGCTGTCTTCAGTACTGTTTGCAAGGACCAATGATTTTGTGAAATTGATTTCTTTACAGAAAACTACAATAGGAGCAACCAGCTAAGTATTCTGTTTTAGGGCTGCCTGAATCAACAGTGTCTGACTGATTTCACCTTCAGTGCAACAGTAGGTTGTCTTATGCCTTTCATCTTATCTCAACACAAGCCCGAGCTCTGCAAAAAGTTCATTCAGATAGTATGCCAGTAATTTTGCTTATTTCCATCTTCCTAAATCCAGATTCTAGTGCACCTGTTAATGGGCTCAATAATAAGCCCAAATCTCCCAGAACAGTGATCAACCTCCCACCCAAACTTGACTTTTCTGCATTCCACAGTGTGGTTTCTCTGCAAACTAAAAAAAAAAATCTTTAATCTATTCACATTTTCTAAGCTGTCTTCACTATCTCGCTTTAATTTGACTCGTGTTTATCTATAAAGACCCATTTCACGACAATCCTTAATCCACCCTCCCAAAGCAAAATTTATTCTAACATTCCAAGAGAACTAGTCCTGAAACTAACATTGAAAAATGTAGTCTGTCCTTGGAGAGCTGATGTATTATTACAACAGGAACCAGGAGATCTAATAAAGTCAAACTTGTTTCTCTGGAATCAATAATCATTTAAAAATCAGACAGACAGGACTGACCCTCATAGTCCCTCAAACATCCACCTGTAGTACCACAATTCCTGTATTAATACAGTAGGAGTAAAATGGGACACTGACATTGTAGGTGATGTAATAATAAAATTAGTAATAGTAAGTAATAATAATAGGTGCCTCTTGCCTCCAAATGAAATGACCTTGATATTGCTGTATTTCATTTATTTGGTGTTACTGATTTATTTGAAAATAAATTCTAACACAAATTCTTGTTTTGGGCTGGGGATTTTTTGGGGGAAAAACAAACAAACAAACAAACAAACAAACAAACAAACAAACAAACACAGTAACAATGCTTCTCAGACTCTTCTGAGCAAATCCTGAGCCAGTGCCAGGAGGATTTCACTCTAATTCATATCCTTGCAATTAACTAACATCATGTAAAATGACATAAACACTGTGTAAGTATACATGCAGAAGAGAGGAGGTTCACAGTAGAGTATTGATGAAAAAGTGTCCGAGATGAGTAGGACATGAAACAGTTGGTGGACAAGAAGGGAGCCATAGTACTGAAACAGCATGCAGAATTGGTGCAATAGCCATTATTCCAATAGCCATTAGTAGTGACCAGACTCTTCAAAGCGTATGTACAAGATTAATTTCTGGAAGATTTCCTGGGTAAACTAAAGTTTGTGTTTTTTTCAAGTATCTTACTTTTATGTTGACTGCTCTCCAGGAAGGCATTTTGTTGTTGACAGGGTGGAATAAAGCTCATATGACTGCACTGGTCTAACCATAAAATGATCTAAATGGATCATTTTATCTAACCATAAATGATCTAAAAGGATCACTTTCTGCTGAAAATACATTATCAGCTTTGTTAGTTATTATATTGCAAGAAAGATAAAGGTATCACTTAGTATTCAGTAAAGCATTCTTTGTGTTCAACAACAGGAATAATTGAAACTCTTGTAATACAGAAGAGTGAAACACAAAGAAGAGTGCGAGACAGGAAGCCAGAGTGGGATTATAAAAATTCCCCAAATGCAAACACATTCCAGGAAGATGTCAGAAGAGTGGGTTCAAGCCAGTGTAAACAGAATAAGCAACAAAAGTTGTGTTCATCCTTCCTAAAAAATAAAGGCAAAGAATTAGTTATTTCTTGCACAGAAGGCTGGAGTATCTGGCTTGAAATTCCTGCATAATCACTGTGTTGTTCAGAGAGACAGAAATTTGTCTGAAATCCTCTCCACATCAAATCCAGAGACAGTTTTGTTACCAATGCCCATTTGGAAAGGATTCCATTTGGATATCTTATTTATCAGTAGCTTCCTTGGCATTTAGGTCAACTTCATAGCATTTACTTCTCATCTAAACAAAATTGTTTCACTGAACCCCAAATTTGGGCTTTTGCTCAAAGGGGCAAAAATATCATTACAATTCAGTAAGCATATTTGTTAGTCTATCTGTGGTCTTGATACTAGAAATATAGCTATAGTTAAATTTAGGGTGAAATCTATTACATCATTACAGTTACATCTGTCTGTTTAAAATACTTCTACCATTAGAATATACTTCTAATAAAAACAATGCTGCTTTGATGTATCAATTTATATGTAAGAAGCCTGACCTATTTGTACTCTTCTTGTTGCTAGAATCTAATCTTAATCACAAATACAACTTTGGATAAATTTAAGTATCTCTGTAAAGTAGTTTTAAATCATAAAATCATAGATCAGCGTAGGTTGGAAGGAACCTTGAAATATCATCTCATCCAACCTTCCATGGGAAAGGCAGCCTAGATGAGATCATCTATTACCGTGTCCAGTCACACCTTTAAAACCTCCAGCAATGGGGACTCTACCACATCCCTGGGGAAGTTGTTCCAGTGGATTATTGTTCTCACTGTAAAACAATTCTTAGATCGAGATAAAACCTTTCCCAGTGCAACTTGTAGCCATTGCCCATTGTCTTCTCCATGTGGTTCCTTGTGAAGAGAAGCTCTTTTTGCTCAGTATTGATTTTTTTGTTTATATATCAATAATATTATTGATATTAAGCTCTAAGGGAGGGTTGGCTTTCAGGTCAGCATCAGACTCACTCCCGATCATATGGTTAGAAGAGCTGATGCACACATTTCCCAGTTACCTGCCTTTCATAAGGAGATTGTCTAGGTAAGGCAGGATGAAGAGCAAGTGGTTTTGCTAGCCTTCAGCAGTCTAACTTTCCCTCAGCAACTTTGGCTTCAGGATCTTATGAGACTTTTAGTCCAGAATACCAGGACATTATACCAACTTGCAATATATTTTTCCACTTAAATCCTTTTCATCTAACTGTTTGGATGTGGATGCTAGTGGGGTTAATATAACCTTGCTCTTACCAGTGAGGAACACCCTTGTAACCAGGAGAGAGGAATCCAGAAGACCTATTGAGACAAGCAGTTTGAAAAGGCTTTCATCTCACTATTCATGAAGATCATGTTCTCCATTATGAGCTCTCCTCCAAGCAGCAATTCTTTACTATCTATTCAAATTGAAGAGTTTTGGTCTCTCTGTTAGCTCTGCTAGAGCTCTGATAGCTCTGACAGTTCATTTCATGCCATGTTTTAGCCTTGCACAATTAAGTTAAAGATTATTCTATGTGAAGATTAATCTGCTTTTCCCACCCTCTTGATGGTAGACTTCTGAAGAAGCAAAGCCGACTCAAGACTCCTGCTAGTACAGTGTCCTCTTAATGGAACCTTAATTAAATTTCTGCAGCTTTTAAAGAGAAAATCCTTTGAGTAAGGGACTACAAACCTGTTCTAAACCTGTCCACTAAGATAACCTCCTCAATCACCATTACCTTGGCCCATTAGGGTAGGTGAGAGTCTCACGGCTGGCCTTTTTTCTAGTTTTCTATGAAGATAACATGACTTTTAGAACACACATCAAACTCTTACCCAAGACTTTTTCACTTTTATTTAGCCAAGGAAATGCTTGCATGCATGGGGTTTTTTTCCTAAAATGGATTATTTGGCAGAAGTAACCCTTCACATCTTATGTTAGTGCTCCTTCTCTGTGTATATTAACAGGCCCATTTTCTGACTAAGAGAGTTTACATACACATTCCAATGGTACAAATGTAGACATGTATATACAGACAATACATCTTGAGAAACGCACAGAAAGTAACCTCCTTTTGTTTTTGCTGTTTGATTGATCAGATTCCCATTGGAAGCCATACCAGGAGCCCACAAGTGTTATGAGGTTCAAAGAATGTAATGACAACGTATGATACCATGACATCTAAGGTTTTTGCCTTCAATCAGCCAAGCTGGTTGGGAAAAAAACAAGAGTATGTTCTGTAATATCCACAGAACTAATGCTTTGTCTTGTCCAGGACTTCCTTATCCAGGAATTCTTTGTCCAGGACTTTAGTCATAATTATGAAGCATCTTCATGCCCCTTTCAGATTGAGGAAAATAATTTCTGAAGATTTTCAGAAATAAATTCTGAAGCATCTTCCAAGTTATCTATCTATTTTATATTCTGTCTCTTCTGTTTAGTAGTAGCCTTGAAATCTGCACAATAGATACTGAATATGATAAACTGAATATGGACTGACTTAGAGCTGTAAGATGAGAGAGTTCTCTAAGATAGTGTCTTTAGAAGAAACACAGTTACTGTAAGGACTGATAAATGTGTTTGGTAAATTATTGGCAGTTTCTTAATAGCTCTGTCAAGGGACTGAATTATATAATTTATGTTCTATGGACATTTAATTTATGCTCAATTGAACATTCATGTAGCAGAATCTATTAATTTTCAGCCACTATTTGCACATAAAAAAAACACCACACCAAATCTGTGTTTGTGTTTAATTGCTTTTCAAAGCTAGTTCAAAAATAAGTAACTCTCTTGTTGTTTCTATTCAGAATCACAGATCCTGTTTGTGTTTCATCAGAACAGTACAAATGAAGAACTGCATGAGCAGTATCAGATTTTAAACAGCGCTTCAAGCAATTAGATTGTTTGGGCTACTAGTCGTAGTGCCATTTATGTGTCCAGAGTGAGGATATTAAATCAACACTAGAGGTTATTGTCCTCTTTTGAT